AAACTAAAGCAGAATGCTAGTTATGGATCATTTTTAATGACGTGTTTTGCAAAAAAGACCAGCAGGAAAAAGGTTTAATTTCAACTTTACTGTTTGTCAAAGCATGCACATAATAATAATATTAACGTTAACACAGAGACTGGACCCTCACAGCTGGTACATGTGAAGCAGGCGGCTAGCTTAGCTTAAGATAACGATGACAAAATAAGTCTCATTAGTCATGTCAAAACTTTAAAAAGACTGCAGGAGTTTTAATTCCTAACAGTTTTTCAATCAGGTTGCATCATGAGGAGAAACTTCAGATATTCTTCGCGAATGTCAAACATTAAAAACACAAGATTGGAAATCATCCGACACTACAGGATATCATCAGGATGGAACTGGATGGAGACTAAATGGAAAATATGGTGCAACAGCCTGTTGTGACGCTAATAGAGATAAAAATGACATTAATGACGTATTTTGCATAAAGACCTGCAGGAAAAAGGTTTAATTTGGAGTTAACTCCTTCAGCCTGTTGATCAAGGTATACAGGTGCTACCTTTAATGTTAGCACCACTGCACATTAAATAAAGTAAACCTACACGGAGGGTTAGAATGAAGTGAAGCTTCAGAGTGGCTGGTCTGGAGCGAGTACCACTGGATGGAGACTTCATACCGACCACCACGCACCCCTACGTCGAGCCCCTCAGTCTCTGAGGCTACCTGGAGGTGGTCATAGGTGTTTTTAGGATGTGCAGCCCACCGTGTAAAGACAAGCACTAGTTCATGCAGCTGTAGCCTCCCCTAGAGGAGGTCTGCAGGTGAGGATGGAGATGACGGACTAACATGCCTCAGAAGACCTGCAGGGAAACTGCTACAGAAGGCAAAAGGAATCCGTTACCAAAGGAAATGAAAAGCTGCTATGATCCACTGAGGGAGCAGCTTGAACTTTGAGTTTATATTGATGTGCTTTAACGGTCGATGGCATCTAAAGCAGGAAAATGAATCGTCCAGGCATGTGTAGGACTGATAATACAATCTAGTGACCAAAAAACTAAGGTCTGGATGAAGGTTTGTGGTCAGTGAGGGTTGTTTATTTTTCAGACGTAAGACTTTAACTGTCGGGTTTAACATCTGTAGCTAACGTTTACCTCAGCGGCTACAATGCTGCTGGTGGTAGCATCATAACCATCTAGGTTTAATAACATCAGGGTGCCACTGATGAGTCTGGATCCAAAATCCTCACATTACTAAATAATCTGGATAACATCAGCTCAGACCAACAGACGACTTCTCAGACTGCCAGGGGGGTGAAACTGGGACAAATGGTCCTAAGACCAGGTTTGGCCTAATAATGATGTCTTTGTTGGGATTGTTAATTACTAAAAGAGTGTTTTACCTGATAGCTGTTCTTGGACAATCATCAGTTCAGTGCATAACTCTTTAACTCATAACTCTTTAAAATGACCAAGTGTTTTTTTGTTTTTTTTTTTAAACTATGGCCATGTTCCACACAACAAATTTGCAGCAAACGTTTGAAATGTTGCAAAAAATTCAAAAAGAAGACGTGAATTAGGCTCATTTCAAATAACTGCTTCGGACAGGCTGCACAGTGGTGTTATAAGCAGCCAGAAAACGTTCTGAAACACTTCCTTTCCTCTCATCAACATACTGTCACATACAGCATCGTGCAACTGGAACGTTAAACTTTTTTAACGCCCAAAACTTTGAGCATCTTGTTGTATCCGACTCCATCTGTTACCCAAGTTGGACACCATCTGGGATCTTCTGCTGCAGAGGATTGTGGGTCAGAAAGACCAGAAAGTTATCCGAGGATTCCTGGTACTATTTTTCCATTTACATGCGGTGTCCTGGGACTTACTAGATCCGATGTAGAATCTGGGTACTGGAACACACCTCTAAAACACAAGAAACAAACCAAACCTGGTCCATAAACAGGAGAAAAGTCTGCAGGATTCATTTTTAATTAGCAAAGGTGCAAAGATTCTTTTATGTTAGCTGGTGTTAGACTTTTTTTATGCTGTCCAGAGACAAAGACGATGAAAGAAGCCGACCAGTTAAGCCTCCAGTTTCTTGGCATCTTGCTCCCGTCGCATTTTTCTTCACTGTGGTGGATTTCTCACTGCAACACAAAATCCTGCAGCTCTTTGGAAACAGAACAACCACGAAGGAGAGAGAACTCAGAAACTGCACAAATTCTTTTGCAGAATCTGGTGCAAGTGGTTCGTTTTGGTTGGATTTATTAACAAAGACATGTAGAATTAAGTGATTATGATGAAATACGACAATTTTAAGCTGAGATTTGGTGAATTTTTCACACAAAGCCTCAGTTTTTTCGGTTTCTAGCTTATAAATGGAACAGTTTTGGTGATTTATGTCATAGATAACGTGTTCTTTAAACCAACCAACCAAGAGGTTTTGAGGGTTTTTGCTCCATCAAAACTTCTTTAGGAAACGGGTTTTTATCTCCCTTGAAGCTCATCAACACCTCATGCAACCACTTCAAACTGTTTTTTTTTTTAAACTAGGGATATTTCTTTGAATTTTGCTCTTTGCTTTAGCTTTCTCTGATGCAACACCTCAACAGACATTATGGAAACACAGCTCATGTGTTCATTATTAAGCTCTACAGGTGCTGGTTCAGTAGATGATTTCACCTGCTGAAGATCTAACAGTGAAGCATCATGAATAAATGTATTTCTGCTAGTTAGACAATGTGCAGGAGTCTGTTGTCTCATTACAAAGATGTGTGCAGAGTTTCTTTGGCTTCAGTCGAGGTGAATGTTGCTGCCGTTAAAGGGAAGAAGATTTTCTCCTGTTTATGCTAAGCTAACTGTCCACTGAGTGGTATTGATCCACTCATCCTGATGAGATGATCAACGGGCCTTTTACATTAAACGTCCTCCTTTATGGAGCATCTGTTGCCACGGTAACCGCGGTGGGATACAGGACTGATGGAGGTCAGGCCGTACACGGAGCTGCTTTAATGTTTATTAGCTCGGATGGATCTACGCTGCCGGTATCTGGGACGCAATTCATCAAGAAGAACATGTCAGATCTCCGTGTTATAACTGTCTGAGGACACGTGACGTCACTTTTACCTTCATGTGTTCCTTATTACAGAAATCTACAATTTAGCTGAATTAAACTGAATCCTGCCTTGTGAGAGGGTAATTTACTGACATTTTAAAATAGACTCAGAAATCTGTGGCTACAGCAAAAGCTACAGTGAGTGGGAGGCGGCTTGATTTTCAACCATACTGTTTACATCGCTGTGACCAAAGCAGCCCGAAGACCAAGTTCTAGGAGATTTAATGGCACAAAATGATCCCAAAGACACAAATAACAATCACAATGAGATTCAAAACAATCACAGAGAGATGCAAAATCACTACAAAACCACCACGAAGGGACTCAAAACTACCTCAAAAGAGACACAAAACCACTGCAAAGACACGAAGCAACACCTTAGAGATGTAAAACCCCCACAAAGAGACAAAACAACCCCGCAGAGACGCAAAAAACCATCATGAAGGGACTCAAGACTACCAGAAAGAGACACAAACACAATGCTAAGAGACGAAGCAACACCTTAGAGATGCAAAACCACCACAGAGAAACGTAAAACCAACACAGAGAGACGCAAAACTTTCAAGGAGATTTAAAATCATCACAAATAGACTCAAAACAACCACGAGGAGACAAAACAACCCCACAGAGATGCAAAACCACCACAAAACTACCACAAAGAGACACAAAACCACTGTAAAGACAAAGCAACACCT